GAAGATCTGATTATTCTGCCAGCCTTTGAGATGTATAGGGCACCTTGTAGATATGTTTTCTCTGTATAAAGCAGTCAGATCTTACATTGTGTTTCATTTTCTATTGTCTTTAAGGTTCATTATACGGCCAGCCAGCCAGAATCAGTTTGCAGTCCAGCAGTGTCCAAGCTGAATTAAATAAATAGGTCTGGCAGCAGGATTAAGTGTCTGGACTGAAAGCTACAGCATGCACCCTATTGAATTCAGTCTCTCAGGTATACCAGTTACTTTAAAGTTGATGGAGTGATATTTCTAGCATTTTTTAATGCTGAACTATAACTTCAACTTGGATATTAAGGAGCTAGATCTGAAGCAAAGGAAAGTGGGAGTAAACTAGGTTTCTCTGCAATGCAGAAAAAAGGGAGTGAAAAAAGTAACTTGTGGTTTGCATCTTCCCACTGAGAATTCTTGCACCCGTGATTGTTTTATATATAAATATATCTATTTAAGGTTGCATGGTTTCTAATAAAATAGCTTTTAAACTGTTACCAAGGGAGTGATTTACAGCTTGCTAAATTTATACAGGATTGTAGGACATGAACTTCCAAAGCACTCAAATATCCACATTTCATCCTAGCAGGAGTTCCTCTACCTATTTCCCAGTCATTTCCCTATTTTGCAGTGCAGAGCACACCTGAGAAGAAAGCCACTGTTCTCAGAGAATCCTAGGCATACCTTCAAATAGCCTTGTAAAATTTCAAAGATTACACTTCCATGCTTGTCTGAAAAGTGTACTGATTCAAGTTCTGTCGATTAATAGAAAATATTGCACAAAATACTTTAAGTCATTTCTGAGCAGGAGACTGAATATTGTAACATGCTACCCCTTTATGAAGGTAGTGTTTTCAAAGGAAAGGTGCCTACAAATGCAAAGAATATAATTTTCTTGCTGTGGGGAAAGCAAGTCCGACTGACTTCCCATCTTCTTTCTAGCACCTACATTTACTACAATGATGCCTGCAAGTTGGCTCTAAGGAGCTGTTGCTATAAATACTTTGGACTTTATATTAAGTATGCTGTTCTCAGTGCCTTCAATGACATTGGGACTGTACTGCTCCTGTACCACAGGTTTTAAGCATTTTTATTTGCAAGCAGGGCATGGAGAAGCCCAGGAACTTAGAATCAAGAAAACAACTTGGTTGCTTTTGGTTCTAAGTTCTCCCAGTTACAGATGATTTGTGAATATGCAAACTGCATATTCCTTTCTGCAAGACCTACATGGTGTGAAGAAGCTTAAGCCTAACTCTGATCTGTCACACAACATTTCTCACTTCTTTCTTATCTGAACTCCAGCCATTTACACCCTTCTCTGCCTTTAAATAATCTGAGCTTAATCTTTGTACGAATGTTGCTGCAAGCATTTAATCATGTACTCCAAAACATTTCTATCAACTTGAATATTGCCTTTATTCTTCCAGGCGTTGTGACCCAATTGTGCATATATTCTTAGGAATTACTCTTTGTTAGTTTTGATAAATGTGTTAGGGTTGTAGGAACCATTTTTAATCAGCATTCCAAAAATGACTTCTCACTTGCTTTCCAAAGGGTGCCTCATTAATGTTAAGAACTTGAATAGCACGCAGGAGGAAGTTGTCAGTTAAATTCTCTTATAATACTCTAAATCTCCCACATAAATAATTCATTATCATAGTAGGTAGTTGAAAGATTTCACTTCTAAGAACTTTTTCAAAGTGTGAGAACCCCAGAAGTCCATTCTCCCCACCCCCACCCCAATGTTTAACAACTTACTGTAGTAGAATGCAACTTTGGTGTGATAAAAGAGGAAAAGAATATATGCTGCTTCTAGAAATAATCACATTTTATCTTTGCAAATTTTAAAATTAGCGATATGCATTCTAGAGCTGAAAAATAATTCACAGCTTTCAAAGTACTAAATGCTGCTGCTGCTGCTGCTGCTATTTATTATGTTGATGCAATTTATCTACATGTGCTCTTTGCTAAATTTTTGTTTGGTGTACTGTTTTATCATGGAGGTTTGCATTAGATTCTTGCTTAAATCACATTCACGACGCCTTCTACCAATGTAAAGCAGAAGGTTGAAAAAAAACTTTGCCTTTTATCACTGTCTATGAAAATCACATGGTTTTACAACCCTTGCCTTTTGGGTTATACTTTAGTGTCTTTGCCTACCAATATATTTCCATTGTCCTGCTCTAAATGAAGCCAAAATGAACTTGGCTTCCGATTACTGGGTGGTAGAGAGGGAGGGGTGAGCAAAGTTTGGTAGTCTTGGAACAGTGGCAACCTACCAAATTAGATGATGTGGAAACAGGAAAGTCAGGGACCAAAACAGGGAAAGTGAGGCTTTAATTACAGGAAACAGCCAGGAAGTTTTAAAGTACTTAACATACCCGGAGGGCAATATACTGCCAAACCTTCACACATCTCTAGGATCTAGGGATGGTTTCAGATGTATTCTTTTTCAGGGGCTATTTAAGATTTAAGAAATATTCATAAAGGACAGTTTAAGAAAAGTAGGGTTTTTTCCCTGCATCTATTAATGCATAGTGCAAACAGATGGCACCAGTGTTGCTGTTATTTTGGAAAAATAAACTCACAAACTCTGCTGCATAATAGTTAAAAGGCTTATTTGATGGAAAGATTATGCAAACGTAGATTGGGGGGAAATGTTGGGGGAGAAGAAAAGTCAGCTGGTTTGAAATAGCTTTCTGAGAGAAGCTTTTCTTTCACAAGGGTTTTAACCTTTAACAAATTTCTTATGTTATATTGCATGTTGTTTTATTGGTACTCCTATCTAGTAAATACCATTTGATGTGAGTCAAAAAATGGAAGAGTTGTGCAAAAAAAATATTATTCAAGATTTTCACTGAGAGAACCATTGAGTCAAAACTTCTGATTATTTTAATCATTGGCACATCATCCTGGAAGATTTGCATAAATATTTTGATTATATCGTTTGAATTAATACTCTGCAATATATCTGACCATCTTGGGAAAGATATTCAAGGCTCAATATGAAAGTGAAATTGTTACATAATCGAGCAACAAAAACAAAAACCAACTCCATGTTACTGCCTTCCAACAGCAGCAATTAGTTATAGCTGGAAAGGCAGTAATTCAGTTTGAACCAGAACAGCTTGCTGTCTACAAATTTTAGCCGGATTTTAATTTGGCCAAGAAGCGTAAGCAATAATACACATAATTATACTCAAATATAGCCATTTAGCTATATAAAACAATATTTTTCCTTTATTGGAAAATTGGAGTAGCATTAAGTGACCCAAAAGGGGGAAAAAACATTTAAATAGAATACACAGCTGAACATTAGCAACAAAGGGATGATAGTAGGTGAAGAGTAGTGGAATACATTATAGTTAATAAATGATGAACACAGTCCCAATAGCAGCAGTTAAGACTCTTAAGTTAAAATATGTAATCTCTAACACTTTCTAATTTTTTAAATATATAATTTAACAAATATGTAATACTTTTCTAGGCTGAATTGCAGGCATGAGGGAATGAGGTCTCTTAGCCAAATGAATAATTGTTCATTACATAATTTTAAATTGATTTATTTTGTTAATATGAAAAATAATTTCTCTTTATTGTGTTCTTTATAATGCAGGAACAACAGAAAAATGTACAGGGGGTGGGTGGGTGGGTGGGTGGGGGAAGGAATTCCCAGAGAGTAGATATTTCTTTCACCCCAGTCATCAGACTTCATTCCCATCAACTAATCAAGAAAGTTTAGCTGGTTTCTTTGTAGCTGGGAGTTGATCTATTTATCTATAGTTTACAGACAAAGTGTGGTGGCAAGAGGAATTTAGATAATAACATGGAATGTACATATTAATACAAGTTCTAATACATTGCAATACAAACTCCAATATTGCCATGGCTAGATGATCTATATGTGATGGAAATTATAGTACGCATGGCATCACACTAAGACTAGTATATGCCAGCTTCAGAATTTTGTACTTCTCTGGGAAGCTGGACTAAAGTTAATTTAGAATCTTAAAACAGTAACCAGGTAGGGAGAGGCAATTAGTTGCAGGAAGGATATGTGCTGGAGGAGTCTAATCCATGAACCAAACCCTCCTCCTATGTTTATGAATCATATAAAGGAAAGGTGGAGAGTTTGTAGTCCTTTTCAGCTCAAATCAGCTTTCAAAAATCCAGGGATAGGGATAGGAGCAAAGAGCAACCTCCCACATGCTATAGCTATTCAGCAGACCTGAGAACAAGAGCAGATAATTTGGATGGTACTTTTGACCAGTTTGCTGAAAACTAACAACTCTCTGTTCAAAAGCTACCCATTTCTGTGAAAAAGACCACATGGCAGAGGTGGTATCCAGCCAGTTCTGATAGGTTCTGGAGAACCGGTAGCGGAAATTTTGAGTAGTTCGGAGAACCGGTAAATACCACGTCTGACTGGCCCCGCCCCCATCTATTTTCTGCCTCCCGAGTCCCAGCTGATTGGCTGGGTCTTCTTTTGTTGCCCTGCACAGGAGAACAGAGCTGGAAAGCAGGTTAGTGGGGTGGGGTGGAAATGGAGATTTTACAGGTATCCTTCCCCTGCCACTCCCACCAAGCCACACCATGCCCACCAAGCCACATCCACAGAATCAGTAGTAAAAAAATTTGAATACCACCACTGCCACATGGTACTTATGAGGCATGAATTCAAGCCAACCCTGATAAGTTTTACATCACCTCTCACAAAGATGTGGAGAAGGCAATAACATCAGAGCTAAAAGAATATCTGAGAGAGAATCCTTAGCATATGGATACACTGGCGAGAAAGCATGTTTAAGAGCAGAGAGTCGATGAAGCACATTCAGGGTCTTCCTCTTCATTCATGAAAATGTGAATTAGAGTATCAGCTTGCACAAAATGGAATTTATTTGAAACACGTTTACTGGAAAATACAAAGAACTATACTGGTGCTCTTTTATTTCCAATACCTCTCTCATGAGCAATACCATGAGAGCAACAGAACAATTAAAAATGTGTAACTGTTCACAATTAGTAAGAACAAACGTGTATCAAAAAGTAATATTTAGAGAATTACAATGAATGAGTGGCATGAGAAGGATACAGTACACATACAGTCATAAATAATGTTGATCGAAGTATTCACAGCATATTTTCACAGAACCATATATTTAGTTAATATATTTCATGGTTGAAGGAATTTTTGCCAGTGTAGTTTGTCCAATATTTGCCTATTTGCTTGGGTTCCTAAAATATATTAAAAAGTTTTTAGTACATCAACAGATATTTCTTCTATTTAAACAACTTCACAGCCAATACATCAGAATATACATAAATAGTATTGCCAACAATTTAATAAGGCAGTTATCCAATAAAAATAAATAAATCAAGATTAATGTGATAAACCTTATTCTTGATACATCCATGCAGACTTCTGGTAATTGCTGCCTTGTTTCCAAGGTACTTGCCGATCAATCCTTTTGTGAGGTATTTAGAACCTTTCCAGATAACAACATCAGACTGATTGGGTTTTTACAGTTTTTTTTAATTGTTTAAAAGACATCCATTTTGGCTGCTTTCTTTGTTCCTGCTCTAAAGTAGTAATCTTTACCTTTTTTATTTCCAATACCTCTCTCAATTCACCCCAGTTCCTGAACCCATATCTGCCTTTCTATAATGTCTTACTCTTCTGTAATATTATTATTATTATTTTTCTTCCATACATCCTCCATTAACTGGTTAGATGTATGGAGGAGAATGTTGACTGGGTTAATGTAGAAGCAAAGCACTTTTTCCAGCATCTTGGCTCCTTATCTAGCTAGCTATGGCCAGAGAGCAGACAGTGAATATTTACTTATTTAATTATTGCTACATTTATCTCTTGCCTTTACCCCAAAGGCAAAAGAGCATTTCCTCCTCTTATTTCCCCCCCCAACAGTAATTGGTTGGGGCTGAGCTTGGGCTGAGAAAGAGTAAGAGACTCGAAGTCACCCAGTGTGTTTCCAGGAATGAAGCGGAAGTTGGAAGTGGATTTCTCCATTTGTAGTCCAACCTTTTATCCACTATATAACCCTGGGCTCTCACAGATGTTAGCTCAGCTGCCAGTGGGTGATGTTTATTTATTTACCATCAATCATTATGTCCCCTACTCAAATACATGTAGACAGCAGGTAGACCTGCAGATATTTTCTTTGGTATCTATCAATCCCCCCTTGCTCCTTTTATTCTTAAAAAATAATTTTAAAATGGACTCAAATTTAAAATATTGCCTTTGGGCATTCTTTAAAAAAATGTTTTAAGGATGATGGATGGCTATTGCCCACCAACAGGTTTGAAAATGTGCCCACTGGTCAGGAACAAATAAGATGAGGTGATAGGAAGCATTTAAGGATGATACTAAAGTAGGAAGCCACTTTGCCTGTTTCCTATCTTCTAAATGGGTGTTATTTGATTAATGTCCAACAGGGCAGCCCTGAATTGACAAGCCCTGAGTAACTATTTATGAGAATATCCAGTACAGGTAGTCCTTGACTTACGACCATAATTGAGCCCAACATTTCTGTTGTTAAGTGAGAATTTTCTTAAGTGAATTCCCCCCCCCATTTTATGACCTTTCTTGCCAGGGTTGTTAAGTGAATCACTGCATTGATAAGTTTGTAACATGGTTGTAAAGTGAATCTGGCTTCCCCATTGATTTTGTTTGTCAGAAGGTTGCAAAAGGGGATCACATGACCTTGGTAAACAACCATCATAAATACGAACCAGTTTCCGAGCATCTGAATTTTGATCACATGATCGTGGGGAATGCTACAAAGGTTGCAAGTGTGAAAAATGGTCATAAGTCACTTTTTTCAGTGCCGTTGTAACTTCGAACGGTCACTAAATGAACTGTTGTAACTCAAGGACTAGTTGCATATGCTTTCAAAATGTCAATGTGGCCACGAGTCTAGAAAAGTTGTCTCACTGGGAGCTCATAGGTGCTTCTGATAAGGCTGTGAATTACTATTAAATAATGAAAAATGGAAAAGAAATTAAAAAAGGAAAAAAAACGTACTATTACTGGATGGTAAAAGGCTACATCTTCCAAAGATAAAGGCATAGCAGTAATGCCCTTCTCACCAACAGCAGATGATTTCTCATCTTCAACCTGTTGGGCAAAATAAAACTGGAAACCAACAGCTGTATTAGTAATTATATCTTCAGTTATCATCCATTTATCATGGCGTCATGGTATAAAGTAGCTGACAGAGATTTTGTGTTCCAGACATCCTGTTTTTACATAATGTTAGGCAGTCCTCAATTCACAAACACAACCGAGATCGGAATTTCTATCCTTCAGTGTGGTCATACAGCATGATGTCACATGATTGCATCGCTTCGCGATGGCAATCTTGACACTCCTGGCTGCCATTATTTCAAAAGTTCCACTGAGGACTTTTACTGAGGACCCATCCCAATTGAAGCCATTCTGGGCTTGATTCCTTCTCCAACTTCCCCCACTGACCTTTCTCCTTCCTGCCTCTGCCCTTGGGGCCATTCTGCACCTTTGCCCTGCAGGATGGCAAGCAACCTCACAACCACACAGACTTGGGGCTACTTGTCATATTGTGGCTTGGGGGCATCTTGGCATGTAACCCCAATTCCGGCTTGAATCCCAAGCCACAGCCCCAGCCACTTTTAACAACATGGCAAAAAGCCATAGTGCCCCAGGTAGGCCCAGCAGTGCCCTGCAAAGCTGCAACATCCTGAGAAACCTCAGCTTTGCCATCCTGGACTGTGAAGGCCCTTTCTGTCCTGCGCTTTACAGACCCAGCTGACCATCTTCTTGCTCCCACTCCTGATGAGGTCTATCTCCCTCTGCCCTTTGCAAGACAGCTATTGATCACGTGAGGCCATCTTTCCCAGGTCTCCTGAGGAAGCTGTCATGGATGACCTAGGGAAGAAAGCCTCGTGTGACCAGCAGTTGCCTCACAAAGGGCCACAGCAGGCATATTTGATCAGCAACAAGAGCAAGAAGATGGCAAAGGTCAGGTGGGCAAGAGAGGTGATGGGGTGAGGACCAAAAGGTCCTATATAGACAGGAGGAAAATAAGCAGGTAGGGGGAACTGTAGCTTTCCCGCAGTTATGAGCGAAGGTGGACTGCCAAACACCTGAATTTTGATCACCTGTAACTTCAAACGGTTGCTAAATAAATGATCATAAGTCAAAAACTACCTGTGCATTGCTTATACGTTCAAAAAGCTAAAGTCAATCAGTATAGAGTAAATAGATATCGGAGCAAACACAATAGCAAACTTTAGAATTTCCAGCTCCAAGTAAATGACAACTACTGGTCTCGTTATTCATTGTGTGGTTTACTCAAACCATTTCTAATTTAGAAATTATGATAGGTAATTTTGTTAGCTTCATAAAGAAATCACTAGTATCTGAAATCCAGCACCTTCATCAGCAATGATTCTCTAAAAACAGTAGATGGATATTTTTTGCATTGAGCTTTACAAATAAATTCTATAAAACGATTATTGAATTTTGCCTCTACCAAATTTTATGCTGGAGAATAGGAAGCATATCCACTTGGTCCATTAACAGTATGTGGCTAATCAGCAGCCTTAAAGACAAAAAAAAAACTTACGTTATGTTTCTCTTGCTTCAACAACTTTTTCTTTTCTTTTGGAATACTGAGCATTTTGGGAAAGTCTTTCTGATGCATTTCTTGCTGCTTTGCATGAATTAAACATGGAACTGTGTTTTCTTCTATTAGCATCTTATTGCATTTCAGTCTAGACTGTTCATGACCATTTGGAAACAAATACTCCATCTTGAAATCACAAAAACAAAGGTGTTTCTCCCCCCCAAAAAAGTCAGTTGAAACAATTTCACCCTATTAAATGTGAACTTGAATATTTAACACAGTAAATTTGATGCATATTTTAATTTATGTTGCAACAATTTTATTAGAAATCAGTGTTTTGATATTCTTTAGTCAATGGGTTTGTGCAATGATGAAAAATGTATGAATGCTAAATTTTTATTGCTAGTTTTCATTTTTATTGCTGTGTTCATCCAAAATATCATTCATAGGAAGATGCAAATCATGAAAAAGTATCATGTACAAAAATTAGATCAAGCAGCTTTAAAAACTCATAACAATATATACATCGTACTATTAACACATTGCTGTTAGAAATGTTATGTTTGCAGAAAAAGTGAATTTTTAGGGACACTTCTATGTCTGTCCAGTTTATTAATTGTTGCTAGTACTATGTTACAGGTTTCTTTCTTGGCATCTTTCAAAACTCACATACTTCAAGTCATAAATTTGACCCTTTACCAAACTTTCAAAATATTATTGGCATTGAAGTATAGACTATAACTGCCCACTATCCTGGAATAATGGATCACATTGTTGTGATTGGAAAATATACAGATAACCTCAAATTTAAATATACTGATTTCCAAAAAGCATGGCCAAAGACAGAGTCTATCTAGTGGGAGCTTTAGTTTGATGTCTTCATCAGAAATGAGTATTCTTAACTTTCTCTTAGCAGATAAATGGTTGACAGATGAGCTTTTGAACATTCAAAACCAAATTCTGAATATAAAATATCCCCATTAATACACTGCCATTTTATTTCTGGGAATGCTTTTCTAAATCATATTGTTATATTTGTTATATTTCAGTTAACATCAAAGACAACACAAACAAAAGTCATTGGGAAGCATGTATATTAATGATAATCTATAACAGAGGTGTCAAACTGGCGGCCCATGGACTGGATGCATCATACGGAAGTCACACCGATCCCAGGTCCGTGAATGGGAAAAACGTTGCAAAACATCATGTGACAACAACGTGACACCGCAAGTTTGACACCCATGATCTACAATATGGCCACAGGAAACATGTAAATGTACATCTTAACACAGAGAGAATAAGATTGATACTAACCAGATCATGGACACTTTGCCCTTTCCTGATATCTGAAAACTGACCACTTTGCTTTAGGAGCCTATTCCAACAGTAATCAAAAACAAAACAAATTAAGAATAGAAACAGCTAGTATCTCCTTAAAGGACAAGACACTTCCTAACTTCCTTCAGTAGCAATTCTTCCAGGAAAATAAGACCACCAAATATTGCTGTCAGTACATTCGAAACTGGCCAAGAATCTCAGTGTCATCTGTATAAGGTACTTCTACACATTTTTTAAAAATAACTCTTTGGCATCATTTTTTTATATTAGAGAATCCTGAAAATATAATTAATGCAATGCAAAAAAAGTTTTAAAAATTCATTTCACCTTTTTAAAAAAAGAAATCTGATTATACTCTTGATAAGCCAAAGGGAGAAAATGTCACCTAAAACTTATGTATTACAAATGAAATAATCAGAATAATTATTGATTCCAGCACTGTTACAATGCTGTTTATAATTATTTTCATCTGTTCTTATTTTAAGACATTACTCACTTTCTCCAGTGTGAAATATTTTCTTATCTGAGAAGGATGTTTCAAATTGCCCTTTTCAATTCCCGCAGACATAATATTAAATATAGCTCGTATGATTAAATCAATATGTCATGTAATTTTTTCCTTCGGGTTCATGCAAAGAAAGCCAAACTCTCTAAAATGAGCCTCTCCATAACTATACTAATAAATAGTAGAATAAGTCAATTTATAATATGGTATATAGAAAACAAGTGTTGATGTGACATTACATACAAAAATAACTTAATGCTACCATTCATGTTGATTTCAAAGACCACAGTTCTTTTCTAAGCACGGTTTGGATATGTCAGATATGTTGTTAAAAAAAAACAAAGTTATATACATCAATAGTCAAATGTTTACTTTCTCCTACTCTCCAAAAGAATAAAATGTATACAAATGCCCCCCTTTGATAGTCTTGCAATTCAGCTTTCTTAAATTTGTTAGAGCCAATTTGTAGGTTGCTATATCCTCATTTATTGCAGTCACTGTCTGCTGAACACAGTGAGCCCCACATTCTGTGGACATAACAAGACACAAGTTCCTCTTCCTACCTTTGAAAGTACAGAAATATACTTCAGTAATTGGGTTACAGTGATCAACTTATCTTTGGTTCCAAGGTGGGGAAAAAGTCTGATGTTACTTGGCCAACTCTGACGGGGAAACATTTTAGACCAGAGCTAACCAGATGTGGTCCCAATGAATGCAATTAAGATATTTAAGTACTTTAATCCTGATTGTGTGTCACCAGGTTATTGTCTCTTAGTGACCACATAAAGTTCTCCAAGCAGCCCTTCAAGTCTTCCAATGATGCACCCAGGGCTACTGTAATTGTGTCTATCCACCTCATCATCTAAAAGTCTTCTAAAGGTTGGTAACAAACATTTGCAAAGCAAAATGAGTGTTGCTCTAATAATTACAATCCACATGTTATAACTCACCTCTTGGACAGTGCCATTTTAATAAGGGAAAAATAATACAAATGATTCAGACAATGAAGACACATTTCATGCTTCCTTCTTTTATCTGATTCCTTCTGTCAATAAAAAAATAATAATCAGATTTGCACTGGAAATCTGGAACCCTGGCTTTAATGCCATTTATTAAAGAAAAGACAGGGCACTGGGAAGAAACTGACAGAGAATTTCAAACCATGTATGTATTAATTTTATTATCCTGATAACTGCTCAAACCCCATATACAATTTAGATATTTTTCCATAATTAGTGTGCAGTGCAGAAATTCAAATGAAAGCATCCCAATCCAGGTTCTACTGGAACATATCTTATGAATAAAAGTCCCTGCCTGCTCTATTGTCAAATTCACTGTTTGGAAGCTCTTTCTAACATTCCACTGAAATCTACCTTTCCCTAACTTACAAAAATTATCCCAGGTTTCCCACTCTAGAATCAAAGACTCTATGATCAAAGGATCAATTTTCTTCCAGATGATGTCCTTTCAGTTACTACCTCTCTCACACTCCTAACCAGCACCATCATCTTTCCCAAGGACTACACATTTCTAGCTCTGTCAGTCTCTCTCCACAAGACTAGCCCCCTGGTTGTTTTCATTGGTCTAACTTGGTCCAATTTGCCTTAATTGTTCTTAAAGTATGGGGATAATAACTACTAAAAATTGGGATCTGGCCAGAGAAGACTAAAGTGGAATGATTACTTCCTATTATTTGTATTTATACTTAGAAATATAGAAAACTGACAGCAGAAAAAGACCTAGTGATCCATCAAGTCTGTCCTTTGAGGGTTTTTTGTATGTATGTATGTATGTGTGCATACACACACACACACACACACGATTATTTTTATTTATTCTATTTTTAATTTTTGTCAGATGAGTTCTGTACAAAAAGTACATTTCAAAAAGTCATATAATACTGCTAGCTCATCATCCATTTGTAATCAGCAACTATTCCAAGATCTTTTTCACAGTTACAGTTACTATTTCCAAGCCACTATTTCCCCATCTTATAGCTGTGCATTCAATATTATTATTTTTTTAAGTGAAGAAATATGCATATGTCTAAGTTCAGTTTCATCTTCATACTTTCATTCCATTTCTTTAACCTTATCAATATATTTTGAATATTATTTACATGTTCTAGCATGATCAGATTAAGTAACGACTAGTTCAATAAATTGAGAGAGGGTTTTTTATACATTAAATATATAAGGCTAATTTATATGGGTTGTAATATCTCAATATGTTGGTTAATAGATTATCAAAACTTTCAGGAGTTCAGCTGAAATCTTACTTTAATTATTGATTAAGTGGAGAATCGGAAGAAAGCCAACTTTAGCTTCCATGTGCCCTGGGAGAGTAGTAAAATATTGACTCTCCTTAAAGTACTGTAAGGAATATATGATGAGTAAATATTCTAAAGTAGCGTTTCAAGTACATGTCTTTCTTCCCTGCCTCCTCTTCTTTTCACTATTTTAACAAAAGGAAACTATGACAATCCTGTTCGAAGCATATTTACCATATCAGTGACCTACTAGAAAATTATGGTTTAAATAGATGCTAGTCAAAATATATAGATTTTATACCACAGCAAACATGTCCTTATGTAATATCTGTCAGGACTATTTCACATTATTATTGATCAAAACCTTTATAAAAAAAGGCATGTTATATATTTCATTAAACTAAGGAGAAAACAATCCATCTGATTCCACCACCTTCCAGGTTCTGCTCTGTCCTTGTTAATGTTAATTCTAAATACTATTGAATAAAAATGATCAGACCATCTGATAGAACTTTAAATAAAGAAAAATAAATGTGTTTTACTATTGTCTCTAGTGTCACTAATAAATGTAGTGTAAAAATCTATTCCTTCATACATTATGACTGATTCATCCAGACTCTATAATATTTTCAATTTTTGGTGCAACAAAAGCATAGGACGATGTTTTCATAACATTAAATATGATGGTGGACTGTTACTTTTGCGGCAGCAAATTTATTTGCTTTTCCTGTGCTATGTGGAAAAAGTGTTAATTTGAAAAAAAGCTTTAAAAATCCATGAAACAGATTTCAAAAGAACAGAAAAAGGCAGCCAATGTAAAGCAAGGTTTACAGCCCTAATAGGGAGATAACCAACAATCTCACTCTGCTGTGCATAATTGATTGGGAAGCTTGATTGTATCCTCCTGCAGCCTAAGGCCATAGAATAAAATGCAAGTGGGAAATGGCATTTTGAATAAAGACAATGTTGACACAAACCTGGAGCCAGCCTCTGTATGATTAAGGATACCTTCCTAAAAGCACCTTTCTCCAAAATTCAGTGACCTTTGGCCTTCTTTACAAGCAGAGCTATATTTTTCTACTTTAGGTAAGAGCTCAGTAGGATCAATGGCTGTATACTGTTTTCCTGAGTCCTGAAAGACCTGGGTTAAAGGATGTTTGCAGGACACTATTTTGGGCTGGTCTTAGTGAAGTTTTAATGGTACTATGCCCAACTCAAAGATGGACATCTCAGAGGGAACAGCCAGCTTGAAAAACCAGTTAAGTCCCAAGAGCTTCAAATAAGAGTGTGAAACCTACCCCTCCTCCCCTTGACTTTGTAGTTCTCTAATCACCTTAAGTAAGGAAGACTTGTGAATCTCTGTGGCAGGGAGGAGCTGATGGCCCAGTAGCCTACCCTTCTTGTGTAGACGCCTTCTACCCAGCCTTCATTACAAAATTATCATAAGAAAAGGCAATGCTTCCTTTCAGTTCTCAGCTTGATCTTGAAACTTCAGAAATTCTTCTTCGTACTGCAAAACTTTGGCGTCTCTCCAGGTGAAGAATAAAAATAAATAACCCTGCCCCCACCTGCATATATACAAACATAGCCTCTTCCATCCCAGTTACAATTTGAGGATAGAAAGATTGGGGGGGGGGGGGTATAGGACAATGCAAACCTGGTGAAGAGGAGCTGAAGAACGCGCCACCTGCTGAGATTTCAATGGTTCCCCTTGCTTTTTCCCCACATCAGAAAGCAGGAACTGCAGAGGGTGAGAAGGAGAGGTTTTAAAAATTCCTATGAAATTTCAATCAACCTTAAGACATGTTTCTCTGTAACGTAAAATAAACAAACTGTACAACCAGTTATTCCCAGTGTGACATAAATATAGCTGTAGATTTTATTGCCATTAATTTATTGCACTATAAAAACTAACTACGTGATACTACAATGATCAAAGGTATAAAAAACTCCACTGCCTAGTGATAAATTATCTGGCCTTCTACTGTATTGCATTTAATAATACTTTTAAGTTTTGTTAACTATACACTAGACTATGGTCTGGTTTGGGAACTGATGTTACTGTACTTGTTTTTGCTGAAATGAAAATTGGCACTTACGATAAATGACAAATCCTATTTTATTTGTTGGATATTTACATAGTGAACATTTTATAAATCTTATGTTGCTAAGTTTTTTCCTTCTTTGAATGCTTTTGTGTTCCAAGATGGAAACATTCAGGTCATTGACTCAGCAGGACAAATAAGACATTATATTAATTGGTGGTCTTTATGAATACTGTATTTAATTCCACCACTTTAATTTGGAAGAAAAGAGATGCCGAGTCCTGATCTAGACTCAGTCTCCTGACTATATAGCCTTGGATCCCCAGTTACAATTAGTTCTTGAAAACTTGGTTTATAGGATATAACATGTTGATCTAAATCAGCCATCTCCAGTCAGGCACCTTCCAGACATGTTGAGATGCAGTTCCCAAAATTACCACACAAACCAGAAATGATCAGTGAATGCACAATTGCCTAAATATTATGCTCCTTTGTAAAGATTCAGATAGTCCTTGGTTAATAATGGTAATTGGGACAGGAATTTCTGTTGCTAAGCAATGCGGTCGTAAAATTCAATGTCATGTGATCACATCACTTAGCCACAGCAATCCTAGCAGCCCCCATTGCTGTCATTAAGTGGATCACACTCAGTTGTTAGGTGATGATTCACCTCGATCCAAGCCATTCCCAGCTTGGTCCCGGAAGCCCCAAGCCTTAATAAACTGCAGTAAGACTGCCTCCTCTTGAGTTTCTCCCATTCACCTATTATCCCATCTCTCTTTTTATGTTTACCCTGCGTAGTGGCACTCATTGGGGGAAGGGTCTAATACTTAGTGCTGAAGTAGAGCTGGTCTCAGCCAGCTGCTGCCACCTTGAGACCTCTACTTCAGCCCCAACATTGCTGGCACTGCCATTGCAATGAGTGCTGGCCAGCTTCATGATGCAAAATCGTAGCTGCACCAGTGCCGAGCCTTGCTCTAACTTCAGCTGCCCTGCACTCTACCAGCCTTGTGCTCTGCCAGCCCTGCCACCCCCAGTTGACCTCTGCCAACTTCTTCCATCCTCCCTTCTAGATATATTCCTTGCTTACTTAACTCAATCTCAAAGTTGTGCCAACTCAAAATTGGCTGAACGAGTGGTACCTATGATCTGTTCTTGGAGTTTCACCTATTGTCATGCCTTCATAGTCATGTGGTTGCAATTCAGGCACTTGGTAAATGCCTCACACTTACAATGATTGTGGTGCCCTGTGGAACTGACCAGCCAGCAGGGAAGGTCTCAAGTCATTCTGGTAATTCCCCATCCTTGGCGTTCCTGCGCATTGCATTGCCACCCTCCTTTCCTTGGCTTCCCTACACTCATACCTTGCCACATCTGTTAGTCCTTCCAGGTAAATTAGACAGGAAATAATTAGATGGGCTAATTCTACTTCATTATAAATCTAAACTAATAGAATCTTGCAAGTCTGAGGACCCAAACTTTCCACCGTCAATAAAATAGTCTTTAATTCCCAACCTACATCTCTTCTATCTTCTATGTGTTGATGTTCTGATCTTGATCCTAATTTTCTCTGTTCCTGCATTCAAAATTCCTGTGCATCATAACATCAATGCAGGTTGCAAAAGCTGCAGAGGAAAAAGAAGGGAAGGAACTTTGCCCTATTAAATTAAGTGAGAAAGATTTGGAGCTGTTACACTCTCACCCACTGAAATAATGGAGCATCACTGGAATGTGAACAGAATGCCAATCTTATTCTTTCTATCTTGCACAGATCTGGCATATTTGTTTAAGTGGTGCATAAAGTCATAGATTAATAAATACCCCTGGGTTTACCATTTGCTTTTCTGCTAGAGGACAGGGCTTGCTAACTCAAAGCCAGGGCAAAGTTTGTGGCAAACTTTTTCAGTCAGATTCTCAGAGAGAGTGTGGATCCCCACATTCATGCATTTCTTCCAAAGCCCTGGGGTGGGGAGAGATCCCCAGAATTGTGGTAAAATTGAAATTGTTAACGAGCAAGCCAAGTTATTATATGCATAGGGAATATTTTAAACTGCATTAAGTACAATTAAAATCGACCTGTCATTTCCCTTCTTTTATTTTTCTATTCTAGACAAACTTTTTGGAGTGTAGCACATCACTCAAGGATGTCCACAGAGGAAGAGAGTGTAAAAAAAAGTGACAGCTCTCTGATCAAAGTCCTACCCTGTTTTATGAGCTTCATATGATTGTGGCTATCAAGGTAACTTTTTAACTCCACCCTCTGAACATCTTTGATGTCATTAAACATTAGTTTTCTTAAACCATTGATCTATTCTAAACAGTGAACCAGATCTGTAGGTACCTAACAAATCTTTTGAATACAATATTTTATTTATTTAGAAGATTTATATGGCTGCCCACTCATTTTCAGTAACTCTGGGCACCTTACAAAGAATAAGTGAAATGTTCCAATAATGTTCCAGCTTAGGGGTGATGTTTTGTATGATAGGAAAGATACTATTGAAGAATTTTATTTTTTCCCCACCATGTTTCAAACTAGTATGTCATTTCTTTTTAAATATCAAAAAGCTCTTTTTGAAAAGAACATGCACAATTCTACCTAAAAGTTTAACCTTTTGCTGTGTTTTTAAATATGCTCCAAAGTGACACTACTGAATTCATTTGCTCTGGTATGAAAGTGGAGCAAATATTTAATTTTCTTTCTCTAGAATCTACACTAAAGTGCTTTGCTGTAGCTCAGTTGTGCCCATTTTATTTGGATGATTGATGTCATTATAAAATACTTTTCTCCAGGTACATGTTCAAGTAACTGCAATTCATTATATTTGCAAAAAGGATACATATGCTTCAGTGTACCCTGCTTGTATAGTGTTACATCAATTTTAAAAGAGTCTTTAAAGGGCTTTTGGTTTGCAACTGCACTTCATTTTTTAAAAAGATATTTATTTTTTAATCTTAAAAAAAATTAGACTGATTTTCTCCTTTTCAACACAAAATAGAATTAGCCCATGGAATTTAAAGAGATTTAAAAATTTGTACAATTTCCCACATCTTCCTAAATAATTCAAAAGCTTAAATTTGATAGAAAGATCATAGCATAAGAACTAATAATTTATTGCAAAGGCAAACTATGGAAAGTTATTTGTTGCCTTAGAAAGCTTTAACTCTGGATTTCCTGCCTTCTAGGTGAATCCAACTTTACTTGTAAACATTACACCCATGTTGTCCTTTGTTCAGGATTAAATGCAGCGGTTAGTTTTCAGCTAGGAAAATGCTATTGAAAAGTTTTCCTCAATCTCAGTTTCCTTCCATGTCTACTTATGTGGAAAAACATTTCCACGCGACAAAAAGAAAGGGAGGGTGGGATCCTACTGCCATATTTTTCCCCCCTGCAAAAAGGCTGCCTCCTTGGCAGATATCTTAAGGTACCTGAAACAACTAATTAAAGAAGGAAGTGGTCAAAGTCATTCTTCTTTGTAGACTTCAAAGGTGATCCCCTCGCCTTCCTCTTTACATTTTACTGTCTGTCTCTCTGCAGCTGTCAGCTTACCCTGAGAGTTTCATGGCGTCAAACCTGCCTCCTCCTGCTCCATAAAGTGACAGTCTTGGGTTGGTGGAATGCAGGTGTAGGAAAGGGAAAAGGCCGAGATGGGCCTGCTAATGATTTCTCTGACACCCCATGCTGGGCTGCTAAAGAAAGAAATCTATGCTCATTTCTCTTTGTTTGGTCAGATATTCTAGGCTCTTTTGCCTTTCCGCCACCCCCCTGCAAAGGAGCTGGCTTTTTTTTAAATAGGGCAAAGGCTCCATGGTAAAACGATGGCATCTTATCCAGGGTTTGAAAACTTTTGAGGCTTTAATTAGATACTGAAGTGGAGACAGGCAGCACCAAAGGCTTCTGTTTTCTTGATAACTTCACACTGCAAATGCTTCATTCAGAGTTAACCCCACTGCAGTTTAGACTGGTTTGAAGAATGGAGGGAGTCAAATGAAAATCTGTTCTCCTGTGGACATCGTATATCTTGCTTCCAGGCTAGCCGAAAATTAGGGTCAAGAGTTTTCATTTCATCACTATAAAGGTTCTACTATTCAGCTAGTCCCCTTGGTTTTTCAGTTTACATTCAAGCAAGCACAACGAATATGGGTTGTTTGTAGGATAAGAAGGTTTGAATTTTCTTCCGTCTTCTAGATATGGGTTCTATATTAGCATACTCCAAATACGCGTATTTGATTGGTCCACACATACTATAAGATGATTGGGTAACTGAACTACCGTGATTGGCTCGTTCTGAATCAACCGCGATTGGCCGGGCCGATCGCGGGAGATTCAAAGAGCTGTCATTGGCTGGCGAGCCGCGAGCAATCCCTATATAAAGGGCTGCCGTGGCTCCAAGATCTGGTACAGATCTATACATTCAATAAAGAGCTGAAAAGTCACACTGGTCTCGAGTCTCTCTTCCCCCGATCTAACAATATGGGTTTTAAAAAGGAAGCAAAACAACTGTAATTGAAAACCCCCTTACTAATCACTAAGTCACACTGCAGACAAAATTATCTTGCAAGTAAAAAAACAGTTACACTGCATGTGTCCGTGAAACCAATGGAATATATTAGCTATGATTATCTAGAGTCTTTGCTTTTGAGGAAAGGTAACAACTACCTACCATTCAGTTAGGATGTTGTACTTTATTCATAC